TGCTTACACCAAGGTGATGGTTCTTCGGGATTTCCACTGTGTCCACAGACATCAAGTAGAACCACCCTAAGTGTGTAAGGGGTCAGAGGTTCACTGGCTTCCCCAGAAATCCTTGCTTGGCCAGTTGACCCCTGGGTCTGCAGCCAAGTGCTATAAAAACCCCCAAGGGAGGTGGATTTCTCATATCCTCTCTGCTTTCTGATTAATCATTTAGATGGGAAACTGAATCCTACTCAGGTTTAAAAAAAAAAAAAAAGTGAACTCCAGGTCAGAATCACAATCTTGTCCCAAATAGATGACTTTCCCCCCTTCCTGTTGGGGCATTGGGGGTGTATTTAAAAAACAAATTATTTTCATTCTGTCACCGTTTCCCAGCAACCACAAAAACACATCTGCTTTCCTGCATGTGTGAGCACCGGCCTGAGCAGATGCCCCAGAAGCAGGGAGAGAACAAAAGCCCAGGAATCGGTCTCCTTCGGTGGGAGACTCTGAAAGGGGACTTTGTTAGGAGCCCTGCATCTCATAGAATGCACTCTGAGAGGCCCGCGCCATCGCTGTGGGGGTGCAGAGGGGGGCCGAAGGGAGTGTGCAGATGTTCTTCGGGCATGATATTCCTACAGAATATGGGGGCTGTGCCTTCAGGGGGTTTTAATGAAGCAGCTAAGGCCTGAGACTGCTGACATCTTTCCAGTAGTTCTTCTGTGTGTGTTTCCAGCCAGAGCGTTATTTTTGTTCAAGCTCTATGGACAGAGAAGAAGGGTGAATTCAAATCTGAACTGAATAGAGTCTCTACAAATGGCCCTCTTTCAGCCAGGCATAGCTGCTCCATGCACGCCAGGCACTGGACTCTGCAGCTGAAGGGCCCTCTCCCACCATCCACCGCGTCTCTTGCGGAGGAGGAAGCACAGACACAGGGAGGAGAGTCCCCGTACCCAAGGTGACACAGTTAGCTGGTAGCCTCCCAGGTCTCCGTAGTGGGAGATGCTCACATTTTAAAGATTTATACCTTTGCATAGTATGCCACATTGAATGGTAGTGGGGTGGAAGGTAGGTCTAAGGCAGTGGTTCTCAACCTTCCTAATGCCGCGCCCCTTTAATACAGTTCCTCATGTTGTGGTGACCTCCAATTTCATTGTTACAAATTGAACATAATTAAAGCATAGTGATTAATCACAAAAACAACCTGTAATTATATATGTGTTTTCCGATCATCTTAGGCGACCCCTGTGAAAGGGTCGTTCGACCCCCAAAGGGGTCGCAACCCACAGGTTGAGAACCGCTGGTAAGGGGAAGCTGTCAGAGCGACTAAGATGCAAGTCTATAATTTGTAAGTCTGAAATGCAAAGGACTGGCTCAGAATGACAAAACAAAATAGGTTAAACCAAGTGCTAAGGCTTTTGCTTTTTAAAAAGGCATAGCCCTAGCTCGTTTGGCTCAGTGAATAGAGCCTCGGCCTGAGGACTGAAGAGTCCCAGGTTCGATTCTGGTCAAGGGCAAATGTCTGGGTTGCAGGCTCGATCCCCAGTAGGGGGTATGCAGGAGGCAGCCAACCAATGATTCATTGATGTTTCTATCTCTCTCTCTCCCTCTCCCTTCCTCTCTGAAATCAATAAAAATATATATTTTTTAAAAAGTCGTAGAAGCTGAGTCATCCCACCCCACCCCCCCATCCCCATCTCCTATACCACACACATACACTCAAGGAACTGAGGTAGGACAAATGTTTTTACAACTTATTGAATTAGTAGAATGCTAGCCTTTGTGGAATTGTACAATGTAGGCCAAAAGGTGCTCTTGGTGATGTTAGCCAGGCTCATCATTTTTTCAGACAACACCTGAGCCTGGGGTGTAGAAGAGCCGAGAAGCTTGGCCATGGCCGCACCAGTCGGTGGTGCAGGAGACACTACATCCCAGCGTGTGGCCGGCCCAGGTCCAGAGCTTTTCTTTCTCTAGGCCCTGAGGCCACCTCTCTGGCTTGCAGTGTCCTCTCTGGATTTACTCTCCTGCAGAGATGACATTCGTGTCTCTATCATTAATTCCTCTCCAATGGAATCCTCCTTTCTTCCCCCCTTTCACCTTCTCCAATCTCATCCAAGGCAGGTGTAGCAGCAGCAAGAATGGTCCGAAAGAATTAAATTGAAGAACTCCTTTAAGTCAGTGGCATCCTGTTTCCTTTCTGCTCATTGTCGAAGAGCTGGATCCAATAAAGCTTAATGTTTATGTGAGCAGCCAAACCACACCAGAAGGTTATTGGCAGTTTGATCTCGATCTCGGTTCAGCAACCTCGGTACTTGAGTACTGGTTAAGAAAGAATTCAGAGTCAAGACTCAAACTATAAGAGAAAGTTTCTTTAGAAAGTAACAGAGGTAGAATAAGTGAGCTGTAGAAGAAATGGGCTCAGGAAACAAGTTACAGAGGCAAAAGAAGGCGCCTCTTCTGGGCCTGGAGCGGAAACACAACTCAGGACCACATGTAGTTGATGCAGGTCAGAATCTCATTGTCCTGGAGGCTTAATGATGAAGGGCTGTTCTGTGGCCCCATTGTTTGTTCCTCTCTAAGGGGGTCTAACCCGCATGACTAGCAACATGCCAGGGGAGGAGAGGTCAGGGGAGGGTCTGAACCGTATGACCAGTGATTTGAAAGGTCAGGGGGTCTAAACTGCATGACCAGTGATATTCTAGGGCAGTGGTCAGCAAACTGCAGCTCGGCAAACCTCGGCTCGCGAGCCACATGCGGCTCTTTGGCCCCTTGAGTGTGGCTCTTCCACAAAATACCGGCTCTTCTACAAAATACCGACTTCTGCGCATGGGCCACGAAGTTTCAAACGCACTGTATGTGCGCGCCTGCGCGTGGTATTTTGGGGAAGAGCCACACTCAAGGGCCAAAGAGCCGCATGTGGCTCTCGAGCCACGGTTTGCCGACCATGGTTCTAGGGAAGGAAGGGTTACCTTGGGGTTAAGGTCCTTGTTTCCCCAGTTTTGACCATTGCTAGGCACCCATGGCTTTCCTCCCGGGTGGCTTTCTGTACCTGGCCCATCGTCCTTGCTCTGCTCATGTCTGTCTCACTGCCTACCACATTTATATACTACAACTTTGTTGTTGTTTTGTTAATCCTCACCGAGGATATTTTTTTCATTGATTTTTAGACAGAGTGGAAAGGAGGAATGAGGGGAGACAGAAAGAGAGAAAAATTGATGTGAGAGAGACACAACGATTGGTTGCTTCCTATACTTGCCCTGACTGGGGCTGGGGCTCAACCCTGCAACCGAGGTATGTGACCTTAATTGGAATCGAACCTGGGACTTTTCAATCCATGGGCTGACACTCCAACCACTGAGCCAACCGCTTAGGCCATGCTACAATTTTTTATAAAAAGGTTTCTAAAGGTTTTTTCCCCACCATTTTTATAGTAGTGATTTAAAACCATGTGCATAATTTCAAAAGTACAGAATGTAACATAATAAATATCTATAACCTCTAATCAACGAAGATTAACATTTTTATTATTAGTCAGAGTTCTCCAGAGAAACAAAACCAACAGGATGTGCAAATATATATACTAGAGATTTAGTTTAAGGAATTGGCTCACATGACTGTGGTAGCCTGGCCAGCCCAAAATCTGATGGGGTAGGCTGGCAGGCTGAAGACGAGGGGGGAGTTGCAATTCAAATCCAAAGGTTGTCTGCTGGCAAAACTCCTTCTTGCTTGGGAGAGGTGAGTCTTTGTTTTTTGAAGGCCTTCAACTGATTGAATGCGGCCCACCCACATAATGGAGAGCAATCTGCGTCACTCAAGTCCACTGACTTAAATGTTGATGTCCATAAAGCACCTTCATAGAAACACCCAGAATAATGTTTGACCGAATATCTGAGCACAATGGCCCAGCCAAGTTGCTATATTAAATTGATCATCACAATTTGCTTTAAAACTAAAAAAAAGAAATAAAACTGAAGATATAGTTGATATGCCATTTATACTGTTCCCTGGGCACCCCATTTGACACTGATAATTTTTTAAATATATTTTTTCTTTATTGATTAAGGTCCTTATCCCTCCATGGCCTCCCTTCTCCCCCTGCCTCCCACTCATGCCCTCACTCCGCTAGTATCTGTGTCCATTGGTTACAAGTCCTTTGGTTGATCTCTCCCCCTTTCCCCCACCCTCCCCTGCCTTCCCTCTGAGGTTTGATGGTCTGATTGATGCTTCTCTGTCTCTGGATCTGTTTTTTATTCATCAGTTTATGTTGTTCATTATATTCCACAAATGAGTGAGATCATGTGATATTTATCTTTCTCTGATTGGCTTATTTCACTTAGCATAATGCTCTCCAGGTCCATCCATGCTGCTGCAAATGGTAGGAGTTCCTTCCTTTTTACAGCAGCATAGTATTCCATTGTGTAGATGTACCACAGTTTTCTAATTCACTCATCTGCTGACGGGCACTTAGGCTGTTTCCAAATCTTAGCTATTGTAAATTTACACTGATAATTTTTGTTTTGTAAACTTTTTTTGTGACTTCAGAACCCTTTTGACCCCATCACCTAAACTCCAATTTCTGGTTCAATGTTGGGGTAGGAACTGAAGACATGGTCTCACATTTGCCATAGCCACATGGTCTTTCAAGGACCGTCTGACCATAAGAAGTTGTGCATGGAAAAAAAAAAAGAAGTTGTGAGTGGATTCCGTAGAAAACACTATCACGAGCCATTGCACCAGGGCGAATTCACTGGGAGTCGCTAGGTCCAATGTACTCAGAGCTCAAACATATTCAGAACACAAACCATCCCCATTCGGGTGGTTCTCCCCAAATAGTCTCATCCGCTATTACACAAGCCTGGCCTGTTTTACTTGCTAGTTCATTGCAAGGGTCAGTAAATGATGAATGCTAGAAACACTCGCAAGGAATGAGAAGTGCCAGATAAACTCAAGGTACAGTGCACTGGCCTCCAGACAGCTTTCTGCCCTGGAACCTGCTGAATAAGAGGCCTGAGCTCTGCACATTCTCGGATCCCTTCCAGAGCCTGGGACTCCATGACTGGTATTTGGAGTGATAGCGTCCCTAACTCCAATTCTCTCTGATTTGCTGCGGTAGCTTCTAGGCTCAGAGAGACTGCATCTTCCTAACAGATATCAGGTGCAGTGTAAGCTGCAGATACCTGCGCAGCTGGGTCAGCCTTTAATCATGGAAAGAAGGCTCCTAAAGAAGGAGGTGAAAAGGCTCCTGTAAGTAAGATTGAGAATAACTTTCATTTACCATACTCAGCATTTGGTGGGTTTCCTGTCATGGATGGTCTGATATTGGCAGGAGGGTAAACATCTCAGGAAGGTTTTATTCCTGCACTACTGAAAAAAAGCCAGACAATCTGGCCTGTGTCTCCGGCACCAGAGGCCTCACACGGGGTGCAAAGCCCGATGCTGAATCTCTAGGGAGGATGCTTCTGCCAGCAGCATGCTCATCCGAGGCATCCCTGTTCCAGAGCCTAGGATCTGGGACCACAGCCCTGTCAGCTGTGCTGGGCAGGGTGTGCCTTTGGGAGGCCTCTGCTGGAAAAGATAGAGGGGAGATTTCTGGAAAATGTACCCAGGGGCCCAGCATTGAAATTGCAGCCTCTGCCTGTCTTATGGTCAGTCCGATCAACTCAGTAATTCATCTCCTGTTTCCTGCCATCGGAACTTTTATTTTTAAACAAACAAAAGAAAATATTAAGTCTCCCCATGGAAAAATGTTTTTTCTCCTGTGCTAGCTTTTCTTTGACTTGGTATTTTGTTAAGAGGTTGGTGAAAATAACAGACACAGATGATATTAAAGGACAGGGGGTGGGGGGGGGGGCAGCTATGTCCTATTTCGTTCTCCTGTGCTAGCTTTTTTTGACTTGGTATTTTGTTAAGAGGTTGGTGAAAATAGCAGACGATATAAAAAGGACGGGGGGAGGGGGGCAGCTATGTCCTATTTCATATGTATTATAGGCACAATAATAATGCCCTTTTCATCAAAGACTTCATCACAATCCCCATCTAATGTGCTCTCTCAGCTGCTAAGATAATGATCTTGGAACAAATCCTTAAGAAACGCTGGAGTAAACTATGTGTGAATTCACAGATGTTTACAGGTACGTGTTTGGAGGCCAAACTAATGAACAACAAACCATAATCAGGAATGTTAATTCCTCCACCTAGAACTGGAATTTCAAAAGGGATGTAAACGTAAAGTTATAGCCAAAGAATACATTTAGGGCACTCTAAATAAAGTACCTTAGAATGACAAAGAAAAAAAATTGAGGATTTTTATCAATCTAAGTGTAATAAATCAGAAGAGTTCGAGAAGGCAGAAACAGACTTATTTCTCGCAAGGTTACTTGCCCAAAGTGTGTGCCAAAGACCTTGACGACCAGAAGCGTGGCCTCATGGGAGCCCAGAGATGTGTGGAGGGGGACCCCAGGGCCCCTTGTCCTGCATCCAGTGCTCTTTCTTCCTGACTTTCCAGAACAGCAGCCCCTCTAGTCTCCTCCCAGGGCCCTTATTCTGTCTTCTGGAGGGATCTGAGGAGGACACACTAAACTGGACTTACTTATACATTGTTATGTATAACTCCTCCTAAGGGTATTTGTATTCCAATGAGGAAAAGCAAAAGAATACATCTGGCCCGAAACTTATCAACCTCATTGACATTTTGCCTGGATTTCACATGGTTAGCAAGGGAATCTTTATTTTAAACAGCGGGTTTCAATCCTTTCATTTTTGTGAACCTTTTCTGCATGTGGGGATTTATCATACTCCCTGCTTTCCTATAAATTCTGTGCCCACTATGTGCATTTAGTTTTTAGATAAATGTGGTTTAATTTCATTATGGTGAGACATTTTAAGCCTACCGCATTGCAAAATTGCCTTTTAAATCAAAATGGTATTTTTTGGGTAATACAGTAGCCAAATAATTCTCCATATAAAAAGAAGGAATTGTGAACCCGGCTCCCAGAGCTGTCAGTGACTGCTCTTGTGTTTGGCGGGAGGGAGGGGCTGGGCAGGAACCCCCATCTGCAGATGGAACTCCCGTGTCATTCCCAGTGGTTCAATCCTGCTCTCTTGCTTTTAAGGGGAGATTATATTGGCATCAGACTTCGGGAAAAGGAATTTGACCCAAAAGGAAGAAGGCAACTCACCTTTCTAGATGATATGGTAAAGAAAGGCATGCGGGTGGAAGCCACATCTGTGTTACATGTTAGTGAAGGGGACTTAAGTATATAATGTATGTAATAAACAAGGCTGACCCTGGTCATCTAGAACGGCCTCTTTCTCATCTCATCCTGGCATTCTCCACATGGTCTTTTCAACCCATTAAACTGAAAGCAAAAAGTATGAGAAAATAAAAGTCATGTGACTTCTGTTATTGGCATTAGAAAAGATTAAAAAGCAAAATGGGTGCAGGGGCAAATATTACATATGATGTTAACATTTTTGTGGACAAAATTAGCTATCATGTAGTTCTCAAGTACAATACTGGGTGTGTTTTTGTTGTTGTTGTTTGCTTGTTTGTTTTGTTTTTTTCCATGTGCATTAATAGAGAAAGCCAAAGAATTGAATAATCCTAAAATCCTTTCTATTATTATTCGTGTTGAATCTTGGGTTCATGTTATGTAATAAAATTTCACTTCCCGTAAGTTAAGAAACTGTGTAAAGATCTAATTCAAAAGAAACTAGTAAACCCTCAGCTTTTTATCCTCCCATTTACTGTCCTTGCACTAGCAGGGAAGAAAGGATCTCTCCCTCTTCCCCTTCTGTCTATCTGACTTCCCTGGGGCTGAGTAAGCGGTCAGGCCTTGGTTTTCTTAAGTGCTTCTCAGTGCACGAATTAGATGGAGAAATTAAGTCAATTAGATAATTGCTTCTCAAACTTTAATGAGGTCTTATTACAAGGCCGTTGTGATTCAGGAAGTAGGGGGTGGGGCTGGGAATTTGCATTTCTAATAAATGATCCAGTGTTACCAGTCCACGAATCAGTCTTTGGATTAAGTTTCAACAACTGACCAGGGTCCATTTCTTTCCTTTCTTTCCTCCTCCTCCTCCCCCTCCCGCTCCTCCTCCTCCTCCTCCCCCTCCCGCTCCTCTTCCTTCTTCTTCGAATTCACTTTTCAGTCTGGTTCAGCCCCTGGAAGAAATAGAAATAATCACATTGTTTTAAAAAACATGGGTGTGAGATAGAACCTTAAAACCCATCTGAAAATGCGGAGGTCAAACTGACCTTCATTGGAATTGGTCCTCAGCTTTCTGTATGAGTCTCTTAGCAGGTCACTTAATCAGGTCTACCTCAGCCCTTTGCTCATGCTCACCCCTCCACCTGGAGCTCCTGCCCCACCTCCATAAACCCTCCTCCTCCAAGCCCCAGTTCCACCAAAGCCTCCTCTCTGAAGCCTCCCAGGATTCCCCAGTGGACACATCGGTTCCCCTGTGCCCCGGGAACACATTTCTGTCATTCTACTTACAGAATTAGGAACTGTTCTCTGGGTCCCTCTTCCTCCACCTGCACCTTTCTCTATTTCAAAATTTTAAGGGGTGAGGGTTGGGGGTGGGGTGGGATTGAGACAAAAAGGGGAAAAAAGAGAAAGAACAGGGACAAGAATATGGTGATTGTGAGGGGAGGGGAGTGGGTGGAGGTGGAAGAAGGTATGGGGGGGGGGTAAATGGTGATGAAAATAATAAAATAAAAAGTAAAAAAACCAACAAAACTTAAAACTGAGGCCCACAGAACATCAATTGTTCACCTAAGGATACATTACCAATTATTGGCCATACCTAGATGTGAGTCCAGATTCCCTGATTCCGAGTGTAATATTCTTCCCAAGAATCTCTCTTTTCGTTTTTGATCCACAGAAGCCAAGAACAAACAAACAAACAAACAACGACAATAAAAACAAACAAGAAAAACAACCCCTGCTCTAGTGGGAGGTGAAGGCAATGCCTGAAGATCTCTATGATTTCTGTCTGAGGATCAGGTTACTGGACAGAGCTAATGATCCTCACCATTGCGGACAAAATAGTAGAACAGGTTTAGCAGAGCCATTGTCACTGGGCCCAGGGAGGGCTTCGGCCAATGTCTAAGCCGGTTCCTTTGCTCTCTGTGCTTCCTGCTTCCAGGCGCACTATGACCTGGCCATCAGTGTTGCTTTGCAATGGCTGGATCGCTCGGAAGACTTAACTTGGCTGGAGTGGGAAAAAGTGTAAGTTGAAATAGTTGTGTTTTTTTTTTAATGCGTGACTATGAGAAACGAAAGAGGAAGTTCTAGCTGGTATCTTCCACCGTGAGCACTCCGATGTGAAAACACTGCAGCGGAGTATCCCTCTGCAACCAGAAATCTGAAGAAACCCCACAGCTGTCAACTTGGGGAAGTCACATAGTGTCTACATTTGTTACATCTCTGCTGATCGGTTTCCTTTTTTAAAAAAATATACTTTTATTGATTTCAGAGAGGAAGGGAGAGGGAGAGAGAGATAGAAACAATAGTGATGAAAGAGAATCATTGATCGGCTGCCTCTTGAATGCCCCACATGGGATGGAGCCCATAACCCGGGCATGTGCCCTTGACCTTAATCGAACTCAGGACCCTTTAGTCCAGAGGCTGATGCTCTATCCACTGAGCCAAACCAGCTAGGGCCTTGAACTCAGGATCTTTTAGTCCACCGGCTGACGCTCTATCCACTCAGCCAAACCAGCTAGGGCCTATTGGTTTCTATCACATGAACATCTTTCTTGCATAGAATGTTCTCCCTTAGAAATAAGACGGTGCTTTGTTGTGCACAGGCCATGATTGTTCAGATGGCCAGTTCTGTGGGGAAAGGCTACAATCTTTTCCTAAGGACCATCAAACGCAACTTCTTAAGCATTTGACCAGATATGTACTTGAGTTGAGCTGTTTGAATTGTAGAATAATTTTCTTTCCAGGATTATCGGCATTTTCTCCCTGTGTGCCAGGCAGACACACTCAATTGGTAAGAATGTGGAACTAATGAGACCAGAATTGAGCAGCTTATTCCAGAGGCCAGTTATTTTTCTCCGTTCCATGGCCTTAGAACACACACCTGGCCCTGGATGGCTCTATCCGTTAGAGTGCAGTTATAATAAGCAGAAAATCCAGTTTGAACAGACTTAAGCAAGAGAGAGAGAGAGAGAGAGAGAGAGAGAAGGAGGGGGAGGAGATTTAATGCTTCTGTATTTGAAAAGCCATGAGTAGCTCTTCCTAAGGCAAGACTTAATTCAAACTCAAACCATGTCATCAAGACCTACCTCTTGACTATTTCCTCTGGCTAGACACTGTTCTTAGTTTCACCCTACTTTATTGTAAAATTCAGTCCAGGGAAAAATGGATTCCTAAAAATCACAGAACTGTCTCAATAGCTCTGTTAACCCTGACTTGTCTGGGGGTGGAGTGGGGGATGGAAGACCGTGACTAGTTTAGTCCACAGTGTGTTTTCCAATCTTTGGAATCCGGACAAAATAGTAAAACAGGTTTAGCAGAGCCATTGCTAAACCTGAAGCACTTAGGCTTACAGTGGAGTAAGGCAGCTCCCCCAAGCAAATTGCCACAAGAAGGGAAAGGATCCTGGTTGGCAAATCCATACTTGTCCACCATAGTGACCAGTCAACCCATGTTTGATAGCTGTGAAAACTTGGATAGATGAGGGCAAATTCATCACCACTGTTGGAAGATTCAAAATTCAAAGATGGTGGGTTCATCATATCAGTTTTGTGAACAAGTGCATAGCACATAGCACATGGCCATTGGAGATTACTTATGGATTATTATCACAACCTTAGCAGGTGTCAAAAACAACAAGAATAAATCCTCGATTCTTATTTATTCATGTTCCCCCTTAGGAAAAGGCCCTTTCGTGGCAGACGCATATACCCAAACCATAGAGAAAGAGAAGCAATGATCTTATCATCTTATGCTGGAATCTTAATGGTAAGGAAAATAACACTCTTTGTATATATGAAGATGCTATATTTTCATGCACATTTTGATATTAATGCATATTTACTTTGTCTTTAACCAATGCTTATAAGTGTTTAAGATGTACTGATATTAAATGTTTCATTTTTTAAGTTATAATAAAAAGACTTTGACTTCTATATTGTATTGTGAAAACATTTATTTAAGGGGCAAAAGACCCCAGAATGAAATGCATAACTAATTGGATTCAGCATATTCTGGTTTAAAATTTATTCAGAAGTTGTTTATTTAATGCCCATGCTACACAGGCACAGAGCTGGACATCCTGGAGCTATAACAGCTTTGTTTTGTGCCAAAAGAAAAGCCATGATATGATAATACATTTTGTTGTTGTTGTTGTTTAACAGAACAGCATCCCAATCGAAGAAGTCTTTAAAATTTACGGGGCGGATTCTTCTGCCAATTCTGGTGCTACCAAGGTAGGGGTGACCTGAGTCTATCAATTCGAGGGATTTTTAGAGAAAATTTATTTGACACATTTATAATGTTGTACTTTTAGGCATCAAATAACAGTTTTATATCAAAATGTACAAAACCAGATGTAGCCATATCTTACTTGGGTAATAAATGTTTGTAAAATGCTTTCCTTACATGGAGGCTCATAGGTAGACCCTCAACCACTGAGCCACACTGGCTGGGCAACACTGTGCCTATTTCAAACCATGAGATGTCACAAAAGGTATGATATGATTTGAGCTACAAATATAAGATTCTGAGGATCACCTACCCCTGTGGGCCCCCCAAGCTCCTCCCTGCTCAGGCCTTTCTCTTGTGGGCAGGTCAGCTGCACTGAGGACCCCCTCCGCATCTTAAATAAGGAATTAGCAGAACCGCTCAATGGGCATATAGCACCTCAAATATAGTAAATTGTAGGAGCGATTTTAAAACGGTCCTAGGGGCTTAATAATTTCAAAAAATTTAACTAGGAGATGGGTTGCTATAAAAAAAAGTTATTGCCAAAAGTTCCTCTCTAATTGCTGCATATATCTGAATGACCTTTGATTCCTTCAGATAAAATATCTCCTAAGCAACAGCTAACATCCTTCCCAAGCAAGAGCTTTTAAAGCCCTGTTGAATACTAATCAGATTATGTCGAATTTCCAGCCACCAGAACTGCCCACATGATACAATGTGAGCACTGTGCACCGGCCTGATGGCTTTCTCCAGGACTATTTGCTGCCACCTGGTGACAGAAAGGCATCATGGGCCCAGTATTATTCACCAATTTTAGTAGTTTCAGGTTTTTCTCCTGATAGGGAGCCATTTTTCTGCTCAGGACCTTGGACCCATAGAAGAAGTCAACCAAGGGCCAAGTAAGTGAGGGTTACACAAATAGCTTCAGATAAATATAAACTGTCCTACTCAAATTTAACCTGGAGGGAAAAAAAAGCACAGGTCTCCCTTCAACAAATAAAGCAAGCAACACAAATATTCTTCAACTCTATTTGATGGAGAAAGGGAAAAAAGAAAAGAGAGGCCTTTACACACATCTGCCTTCTTTTCCTCCCCCTACCCTTTTCTATTGGAAGAAATTTTTGTTGAATGTGCTTTGGACATAATTTGGCACTCAAGAAGTACTTGAATCGAGAAATAACAGTCATAATAATACTGTTACTATGCCACAATGAAGCTATTAATAAGTAGCATTAAAGTAAAAAAGATATGATTAACTCTAGATTTAGGATTTGAATTTCATTCTATGTTTAAAAGCTACATTAACTGCTTGCATGAGTCATCAGATTATCGGGACTCAGAGAATATCTGAGCTGGAAGTGACCTTTAAAATCATCAGGTTCGATCTGCCCCAGTAAACAGGGCAACTGGAGCTTGAAAAGCATCCGTCTTGTATGTTCTAAGTGCGTCAAGAATGATGTATGGCTTGCCCTAGCCAGTTTTGTTCAGTGGATAGAGCATCAGCCTGTGGACTGAGGGGTCCCAGGTTCGATTCCAGTCAAGGGCACATGCCCAGGTGGTGGGCTGGATCCCCAGTAGGGGGCGTGCAGGAGGCAGCCAATCAATGATTCTCTCTCATCATTGATGTTTCTATTTCTCCTTCTCTCTTCTTCTCTGAAATCAATAAAAATATATTTTAAAAAAAGAATGATGTATGGCTAGACTTGTCAAGGGGACCACTTCATCACTTCATAAGTTATGCAAGTGTCTAACCACTAAAAACAAACAAACAAACGGGAGCCAATTCTTTCTCTCTCTCTCTTTTTTTGTACCTGGCATATATTTACCTGAAGGGCTCTTGCTATTATAGTCACAACTGCCCCATACTTATATAAAGCCTCCTTTCAATTACTTTCAGTGTTATAGGGTCACCTTTCTGAATAGATGTTATGCTTCTGAGGTTAGAGGCCATAGTTTATGTTTAATTCCTTACAATGCTGGATATGAACTGAACGCTCAATCAATATTTTTGCCATTTGAATAAAAGACTGAGGTCAAAAATAAAAGTTCCCCTGCTGAGGTGGCTCTAAACTGTTCTGTTGGTAAAGAGAACACATCCTCATTTATTGTTTAATACTGGTTTCCTGTATGATACAACCAAAAGCCCATAATAATAGTGAAAAACAGGAGTTTACTTCTCAGGTAAAAAATAAAAGGAGTCTGGAGGTGGGCAGACCAGGGCTGGTACCGCAGTTGCACCCAATTGTCAGGAAGCAGGCTTCTTCCAGGTCTCTGCTCAGTCATTCCTGTTGAAAATGACAAAATCCTATCTAATAAAAGGCTAATATGCAAATTGTCCCCTCGACTGGGAGTTCAACCGGGAGTTTGACCAGAGGGCGGGGCCAGCCAGCCAACCGCCTGCAGCCCCTCCCCTCTGCCAGCCCTGGCCCCGATCGACCCCCTCCATCCCAATCAGGGGCCAGGCTGGCGGACCCCACCCATGCACGAATTTGTGCACCAGGCCTCTAGTAATATATAAATGTAGTCCCTTTCTTAAAAAAAAAAAAAAGACACTCTCCCCCCAAAAATACCCCACCTATATATAAACTGAATAGTTATCTTGGAGTTCAAATTTCTACCTACTTCAAAGATGATATCAATTACGTGGGAACTTGCTCACTAGGAGTGTAGTCATTAAGAGTTTTGGATGGTAGAGATAGAGCAGAATATTTTCTACTGACCTGGAAATCTAAAACTAAGTATTTGTTTTGTTGTCCTTGTCTTTTTGTTTTTGCCTCGGTTATACATCATGCAAGGGTGTCCTGTTGATGAGATGGCATCTTTCTTGACATGCGTAAAAAGATTTGTATAATCAACTTTTACTCCTTAGATTTACTCCTGTAAACCTAAAACCCGAATCTCTATCAGTGAGAAAGCAGAAAGTTGTTGATCTTGCAGGGGGTGTTAATCTTTTCAGGCCTCCTGGCTCTGATTCATTATTTGTCAGCAATTACTCAACCTTTTTCTGGGAGATGAGTCAGGATTCCCTAAAGGAATTGGTGGCCAAATTGTTGCCATGGGTAATTCTATACAAAAAAGAGAACTGAGTCAGGGAGAGAAATGATGATGCTGATAAATATAAATATTTATTATTATTAATTTTAAAGCTTCTATATTGTACTGTGTACCAAACACTACTCTAAATACTTTACATACGCTAACTCTTTCATCCCTACCACAATTCTATAAGGTAGGTACCAGTATCATTATTATCACATGAAGAAACAGGCACAGAAAAGTTAAAAGACGTGCCCAAGGTCACATGTCTTATACATGGTTCAGCCTCCATTTCGAATCAGCCAGTTTGACATCAAAGTCCATGCTGTCAACCACTTATTGCCTTGACTAGAATCATAGTTCAGCTAGTCAATAACATTTGAGTGCCTACTATGTGCTAGGCACTCTCTAAGGCTCTCCTTCCACCCTTCAATCCATTCCCCACAAAGCAGCCAGAGTGATATTTAAAAAAATAAATTAATTAAAAAATATATATATATATATTGATTTCAGAGAGAGAAAGGGGAGAGAGAGATAGAAACTCAATGATGAGAGAGAATCATTGATTAGCTGCCTCCTGCACGACCCCTACTGGGGATTGAGCCCACAACCTGGGCATGTGCGCTGACAGGGAATCGAACCGTGACCTCTGGTTCATGTGTCAACGCTCAACCACTAAGCCACACAGCTGGGCCAGACTGATGTTTTTAAAAACCTGAGCCAGACCTTGTAATACTACTGCTTAAAAATATTTCAATGGCTTCCATTGCTGTCTCTGTCCCTTCTGTCTGAAGTGGTGGCTGTCCGGTTACTCCCTAGCACATCATCTGTTTAGTATATTTATTAAACTTATCATGATGTATAATTACCCAGGTTGCCTAATAGTTTAGTGTCTCTCCTCACTCAGCCCTTAAAGCAGAGCCTGGACCATGGTAGGTGCTCACTGAAAACTTGTTGAATGAATGAATGAATGAATGAATGGATAGTTCTAGCCTTGCATAAGTTTCCAGCGCCGTGCAGCAGACAGTGGATTACAATCACAACACACTGGGTTTGTTCTATGTGAGTTCAAAAAGAGCTTTGAGTGCACAGATGAGAGTCAGTAATTCTGCCTTGGGGTGGAGGAGGGGGCAGAAGGCCAGTATAGGAGCGTGAAGGTGTGGGGACATTGGGCACGTTTCTCAGAAAAGGTGATATTTGAGCTGCATCTCAAAGGAAGAGGAGGGGCCTTCAGGAAAAGAGCCCCTGGGCAGAGAGGAAGCAAGTAGCCACTCCAGGTAAAGGGAACTCTGAGGAGTATCAGGGTGATTCTAGGCAGGAGGGACCCAGCCTGGCAGTAGAAGACAATGTGTGAACGTGCCTGACAATGAAGCCTGGGCTGCCAGGGGACCGGTAGGAACGTCTAAGGACTGTGGGCTGGGCAGGCCAAGTGCCATAGGCAGCAGGTGTGAGCAGCACGGTGTGTGCAGCGTTTCAAAGGAGGACTGTTTTCCTTTCAGGTTCCCCGAGCTCCACCTTCCCGCCTCTCCTTGCACCCTTTTGCCATGTTAACAGCACCCAAAGCAGCAGAATATGCCCGCAAACAGAGTAAGCCTGCTTACTTCCATCCGTTAGAGAAGTTTATCACAGGAGGGGGACTCACAACGTCAGGTCAGAGGTGGCGTGGTAAGAACAGCTCTCTGGTTGAACGCGAAAGAACCAGGAGTACTTACGGCTTAATTTCCCTCTACGGTCGAAACCAGGGAAGTATTTCTTAGACGCCTTGGTAATGGGAGCAAAACACTCATGAAGGGAAAGATCTGGAACTGTGGGTGGACTCATTTTTTAAAAGGTGTTTTTGTTGTTGTGCCTACATGTGTCTCTAGGTGTCAAGCTAAGAAGGGGAGCAACGAATAAAAATGCCACCAGCAGCTCTAGGAGGGAAGCAAATGCCACGGAACAGAAATCATCAAAAAAGTTACCTTTGGACACACAGCCAAAGAGCAAAGTAGGTCTAAAAACACAAATTGGACCCAAATGATACCAGATGTTGGGGAGTACTTTACTTATATCGTAGTTAAAAGTGTAGCCTTTAGAATGAGATGTTCTGGGTTTGAATCTAAAGCTTACTACCTACCATCTGTGTGACTTCAGGTCAGTGACTTAGCCTCTCGGTTCCTTAGTTTTCTCTTCTGTAAAATGGGAAGAATGATGGTATCCCCTCTTAAGCTTGTGGGATGATTATCTGAGATTACACATGTTAAGAGGTTAGAACAGTGCTTGTACAGAGCAACCCTAAATAAATACTAACCACTATTATCTTTTAGCTTTTGAGAAATGCAATCCACAAGTTAATCAGCTGTTATATTATGGGTTTAAATAAGTGTCGCCCTAACCGGTTTGGCTCAGCGGATAGATCGTCGGCCTGCGGACTCGAGGGTCCCAGGTTCGATTCAGGTCAGGGGCATGTACCTTGGTTGCGGGCACATCCCCAGTAGGGGGCATGCAAGAGGCAGCTGATCGATGTTTCTCTCTCATCGATGTTTCTAGCTCTCTATCCCTCTCCCCTCCTCTCTGTAAAAAATCAATAAAATATATTTTTTAAAAAATAAATAAATAAATAAATAAAAAGTGTGTATGTGCTTATAGTAAAAATTTCAAACAATACAAAAGTTATAAGTGAAATCCACACCCCTTTCCTACTCCTTAGAAATAACCACTGTTAATATTTCTTGTGATATTCAAATATTACTATACATTGTATGTCCTACTACTGATTTTTTAGAAATAGCCAAGAAATAAATTAAATAAACAAATATCTTTATTAAAGAAATAATTATTTTATAAATGTATGAGAAATATACTTTCACGGTTTATTGTTTAAAGTAGTTTTTCATTTTATATATTTGAGCTTTTTAGTCTTTTTCTTTATAGCTTACTGATATTATATCATGTATTTTAACTGATAAACAATTTTATAACCTCAAGATGAAACAATGTCTTAGTCAGGATTTTCTATATATTTCCAGCCACTGACTTTTTTCATAAAGTAAGGGAAAAGGAGAAATTATTTGTTAAAAATCCAGGTATTCTGGAAAACAGTTTTAAATATTTCTTTTAGACCGTATTGGTATTAGTACCTCATTTATTAATAGAGATGGGTATGAGCAACATGATATCCTAGGAAAGTGTCAATATTGGGCAGAGTTCTAGGACACGAATTTGGAATGGACAGAAAACAGCATACTCTAGTGATTAAGAGTGTGGATTCGGAGTCAGATAACTAGATTTGAATCTGGTTCCTCCATTTAATAACTTGGGTGAATTATTAAGTGAATCTCTTGTGCTTCGTCTATAAAAGGTGGATGATAACAGTATGTACCTCATGGGGTTGTTACAGGGACTGTGAATAGACATGGAAGGGCTTAGAAAGTGCCAGGACTGTCACAGGCAATAACGCACGTGCCCCCTTATTGCCACTCCGGAGGAACTCACAGCATCATGGGAGGGAAGAAGGATGGCGAGAGGACAGTCTGAGGGATCTGGTTTCCATTTCCACACAGAAGGGGCTTGGATATCGACACTCCACTCCAACAAGTAAAAAGCTGAACAGACTGAAAAATCAGCAACTCTTCTTGGAAATGAAAGAAAGGGGAAGGCACAGGGTACACTGCTGCCCCCAAGAATAAGGTGGACTGATGGATGGGTAGAGGGATAGAGAATTGCCCTGATGTATGTTAAAGCAAACACGGAAAACTGTTTACAGAATTAGCAGGTTATGGGCATATGTATCTCATGGTTCAATTCTTTCAACTTTTCTGTATGAAAAATTTCATAATGAAATTTATGAATAAGAAGAAAAGAGACAGAGATTGTCAGAGTGGATCAAAAAACAAGGCCCAATTATATGGTGTGTATAAGAAACCTATTTGAAATATGAAGACACACATAGATGAAAAGTAAATGGATAGATAAAAATATGCCAAGCTAACACTAATTTTAAAAAAAAAGCAAAAGTAGCTATATTAATTTCAGACAGAGCTACTTCAAAGCAAGGAATGTTATCAGGGATAAAGAAGGGAAGTGCATGATGATAAAGCTTTATTCTCCAAGAGACATAAGATTCCTTAAGTAGTCACTGAGCAACAGAGTATCAAACTCCATGAGGTAAAAACTCATAGAACTGCCGGAGAAGCAGATGGCTTCACTGTCCTAGTTGGAGACTTCAACACCCCCCTATCAGAAATGGAGAGGGAGCAATTTTAGTTTAAATTCAAACCAATATACAAGAAATTCAAAGTAACATGCTGTAAGAATAATACACAACTGCTAAAGGGCAAAGAAATGATTTGCTTCGGGTGTGGTCCATCAAATGAAGTATTACTTTTACTATTTTATTTTATTTTATTTGGAAACAATTTTGAGCTTAGAGAAAAGTTGCTAGAGTACGACAAAAAGCCTGTGCGTACATTTGACTCACATTCACCAATTGTTCATGTTTTGCTCTATTAGCTATATCATTTTTCTCTCTGCCTCTCTATCTTCCTCTGTTCCTATCTCTTTCTCTTTGTGTATAGATATAGATACATATTTTTTCCTGATCTATTTGCAGTTACATCACCATCTCATTTTAACCCCATATAATTTAGTGTGTACTTCCTAAGAACAAAGTCATTCTCTTGAATAACCATAGTATAGTTATCAACTTCAGAAAATCTAGCATTAATACTTTGATCCAATCTACTGTCTATATATAATTTTGTCAATTGACCCAATAATGTTTTTTAAAACATTTTTTTCCTTCTGTAGAGGATACAGTGTGGGATTTATTGTATTTAGTTGAAAAATATAACTCAATTTCCCAATGTCTCAGAACAGTTCCATGAAAATTCTTTGGTACCTACATTCACCTTAACCCATCATGGTCAATAACTTAGTATCTGATATTTGACCTTAACTCCCTATAGATTGAAAGCTACTGTCTGTGTCCATGCTTGATACCAAAATCCTCTTTTTATTCTGCAGGTCACTTAGAAACTTGGACTTGCACCCTGGGACCTCACAATAAAGTCTCTGGGAGAGGAAAAGAAACATCATCTCAAAACTGCAACTCTTGCCAGCATATTTTTCTTTACAGTTAGCTTTGATGCAAACTGCATTGCAGTGTTATTTTTGGATATTGAACATTCTTTTCATAGAATCATATTATATGGCTACATTTGGGTTTTTAAAATGTGTGTATTTTATGCTACTTCATTGTGAGTGGAAGACTGTTAGTTGGAGAATTCCAAGAATATATAGTATTTCTATGTCAGAGCAGACTGGCTTTTAGCACATTTTACAAATGTGTAGCATTGAATAGTGCAGAATGGTGGAGTAGGAGGCAGTTTTCCAAACTTTCAATCCAAAATAAAATTAATCTATCATTTGCCTTTACTATGTTGTCACATGGAAACATTTGCAATCCTTTCAATAAAGCATTACAAGAAAATGGGTGTAGGCTTTCTTTTAATGAAATATCATGAACAACAAATACACATCTATCAACAAGTGAATCTAAAAATCAAGTGAATAAATAATCTGCCTGGTTCATAGGCCGACGATCAAACAATGAGCCACACCAGCCAGCCTCTTTCTTTCTTTATTTTGCTTCTTTCTTTATTTCTTTCTTGTCCTTCATACTATGTACCATGAGGTAAGTACTATAAAATAACTCATTCTCTGAGAGCTTATGTGGCTACTAAGTGAACATTCTCAGTCCACCAAGCTTTGCTCCCTCCCCCAGCCCTGGGAAGCAATCTATAAAGCAATAAATTTCCCAGTCATGGACCCAATGACCATAAAAGCCTTTCCCCTGATCCTTATCACAAGTTGACTACCAGCCGCTGATTTCTAGTTACATGGAGTACAAAGGGGAAGTTAGTCGCTATGCCTTAAAGCATCTGTCAAAACTGGCAAAGGCCAGAATCCAGATTCGTGTCCTGTACTCGACTGGCACGTCGTGGACAAAAAGAGAATTTAAGTTAGAGGGTCTCTGCCAAGGGAAATTAGTGGGTGCTGGGCATTCTGCTTTCCCACGACCCCTCTGGAATTCTGTGGCTCTTCTAGAAAGGTATAGATTTTCCCCAGGAAATACATGGGGCGCAACTGAATTATGTGTGGAGACACAAGCGTTTCAGGTCAAAAGTTCAGACTGATGCGCTGATAAGTTTAGAAAAACACTGGGAACCGAATAAAAGCCACTGTAGGGGCCCAATAGGACACGTACAGGACAGCGTTAGAATATGCCAGAGAATGAGGCTCCATGAATTCCCCTCCTCGCCTGGGGCCCCTTTGTGCTGCTCCTGCCAACGCAGCAGCCGCCCGCTATATAGACCCGCTGCCCGCTGCCCGCTGCCGCCCATCCACTGACCTCGCTGCATCCCAGCCAACCAGCCATGGGGAAGGTGAGCCGGACACAATGAAATAAGATGGTGGTAAACCCCCTATACAAGGTCGACTGGGGGCAAATGATTTCCCTCGGGGCTGTTGTTCCTTGCAGATCACCTTCTACGAGGACTGCGGCTTCCAGGGCCGCCGCTTCGAGTGCAGCAGCGACCACCCCAACCTGCAGCCATACCTCAGCCGCTGCAACTCCATCCGCGTGGACAGCGGCTGCTGGATGCTCTATGAGCGCCCCGACTACCAGGGCCCCCAGTACTTCCTGCGGCGCGGCGACTACCCCGACCACCAGCAGTGGCTGGGCCTCAGCGACGCAGTCGGCTCCTGCTGCCTCATCCCCCAGGTGAGTGTGGCCTGAGGGCGATCAGGTTGCCTGAGGGCCCTCAAGTATTATTGAGGGGCGTTAGGGTGAAGGAGGTTTCTTTAAAAGCACCCAAGGATTGCCCTGGCCAGGTAGCCCAGTTGGTAAGAGCATCATTCCAATAGCCAAGGTTGCAGGTATGGTCCCTGGTCAGAGCACGAACTGATGTTTCTCTCTTTCTCTCCCCCCTTCCTCTCTCTCTTTCTCTCAAATAAATAAGTAAAAAATTATTTTAAAAAAATAAATAAAAGCACCCAAGGATTAAGTGGGCTTTAGATACTTGCCTAAACTCAAATAGATACTCACACAAAAACAGCACAGAATATGGGGAAGAATTCACTTAGGGAGTCTGTTTTAATTTTTGTTACCAATAGGTCAATCAAAAGTTGTCTGCAACAAATGTAATAACATAGTGGGATATAAAGAAAGCTTGAAAATGGGAAATTGGTTGGACAGAGAAGGCAGTATTTCTAACAAACTAACTTATACCTATAGTAAGGGAGTTGATTAGGAACGAAATAGTTTCCACTGTAGACTAGTAGAAATGGAAAACTCTATTGTTAGTGTAGGCTATTCAAAAGTAATGTCCAAGTTTTGGGAAAAGCAGTTGTTCTTAATTTGGAAAATCAGTTGAATTAGGATTCAAGTGACTAAACTAATTTTCACTGAAGTATGTGATTTTTAAAATCCTACTTTAGTGGTAAATTTGTATGTATATAAATTTGGGCGATAACACTCATATTAAAAGAATACTAGTCAAACACTTTACATTATCCCCCTAATATGGGTTTAACACCTAGGAATCAAGGAATTCGGTAATTAGGAGTTAAGAAAACAAGATATTTGAGCTCTAGATTGATTCTAACCCAAACATTGGATCTCTTAAAAATTTCGTCTCCTGGATCTGAAATAGAGAACGAGCATGCAAACATTTGTTAATGTGAGTAGGACACAGACCCATACACAGCATTCACAGCAATCTTAGAGCCTCAGGTTTGACATGGACAATCCCACGCCCCAACCCCCCAAGTTCATCTGTTGTTTGGTTGCTTCTTCTCTCTGTGGGTGGAGCAGACGGGCTCCCACCGGCTGCGGCTGTATGAGAGAGAGGACCACAAAGGCCGCATGATGGAGCTGAGCGAGGACTGCTCCTGCATCCAGAACCGCTTCCACCGGGGTGAGGTCCGCTCCCTCCATGTGCTGGAGGGCTGCTGGGTCCTCTACGAGATGCCTAACTACCGGGGGCGGCAGTACCTGCTGAGGCCCCAGGAGTACAGGCGCTCCCACGACTGGGGGCCCACGGATGGTAAGGCTGGCTCTCTGAGGAGGGTGGTGGATTTATACTGAAATCGGTTCATGCTACCATTTTCTCAATTTGGAACCTAATAAAGTATTTCGTCTGTATTGTTGGCAATTGCTGGCTTCTGTTTTTCTTCTGTGGTGTGCTAGTTAATTCACCGGTCAATGGTCCCTGACAAAGGAAGCATTTCTAGAAGCCTTTAAGGAGTGAATACGTAGGAGGGGGTTCTAGAAGAGCTTCAAGGTAGAGTTAGTCTTGAACAGGTTCAGAAGTGGGGGTGGAGAGAGGAGGTAGCTTGCCTGAGAATGGAAGGCAGGTCAGCATAGAGAATTGGGAAGGGTGACTGGGGAGAACGGAGCCTTCAGCCTCTGCTTTGAGGAACAACAGTCTTTTTGACCCAAGACATGGTTGGAGGCCACAGAGGGTCAGCGATGAGCGGTGAAGAAAAGCCCCCGTGGCAAAAAGCCTGATTATACTACATGAGGATTTTTGCTCACTCTCAAGCACAGTACTATGTAACTGATGCCAGGGCTGCCATTGGCCACTGCCAAACTTTTGGACTCAGTTGCAGAACCTCCTTCCTAGTCTAAAACGGCTTCTGATTGGGGTGCACCTCTTGGCCAGGACAGCAGCTGGGCCAAATACTGCGTGAAGGGCAGAAACTGCATAGCTGTACATGACACCAGCTAATACAAATAAATGGATGAGATACACGTTACTATTTCTTTTTATTATCTATCCTCACCCGAGGATATTTTTCTGTTGATTTTTAGGGAGGGTGGAAGAGAGAGAGGGAAAGACAGACAGAGAGACATCAATGTGAGAGAAACATATCAACTGGTTGCCTCCTGCATAGCCCTGACTAGGGCCCGGGCCGGAGAGGAGCCTGCAACCAAGGTACATGCCCTTGACCGGAATTGAACCGGGGACCCTGTGGTCCAAAGGCTGACACTCTATCCACTGAGCCAAACTGGCTAGAGCCACATTACTATTTCAAATAGATGATATAGTGTGCCATAACACATAAAAATTCTTTTGCTATAATAGAACAATCTCAAATCTAAAGGCACATTGAAGAAAGCCGTAATTTTGGGCGCCCTTTGATTGAAGTTAAATCTGCTTGCTCACAAGCAAAGCCCTGTATATTAAAAATATTTTTCATTCTTTTCATCAGTAGAGAATTAATTTATTTTTAAGTTGAAATTTCCCTCCAAAGCAAAAACCTCCCATAATCTTACTACTTTACAGATTCTATATATAAAGAAGTGGAGGGAGTCCTTCTGATCCCTTCTTCATTGCTAACACTTGTTTACACGGTGAACACCCTTTTCAAAGTTTTCCCTCATTTTGTAGCTATCTCATAAAACACATGCTGCCCCCCCCCCCCACACAAATGGAATCATGCTGTATATATTATTCTGCAACTTGCTTTTAACATGTGATATGATATGGACATAAATCTAGGTCAGTCCCTTATTCTGTTAAGCAGAAGCATTGTATTCCATTGTTGAGAGTGTCCCTAGATTATCTCACCATTTATCTGCTGGTGATGGGCTTTTCCAATGTTGGTTTTACAAACAAGGCTGCAAAGAATATTGCACATATACCTTTATCCACGCATGTCATAATTTTTGGAGGATGGAGACCTAGAAGTGAGACTGCCTGCTCACAGCACAAGATATGTTTTTATTTAAAAGACTTTGCCCAACCCGGCCAGTGTTGCTCAGTGATTAAGCATGGACCTATGAACTAGAAGGTTATGGTTTGATTCCTGGTCAGGGCACATGCCCAGATTGTGGGCTCGATCCCCAGTGTGGGGCTCTCGCCCTCTCCCTTCTTCTCTGAAATCAATAAAAATATATTAAATAAATAAATATATAAATAAATAAAAGACTCTGCCCAATTACTAGCCACCAGAAATTCTAACTTCTTTGAGTTAGAGTCCTCACCATTTATTGAGCACCTGCCAGAGGCTTGCCAGATGTGGCACTGGGGATGAAAAAACAACCAAAACAAACAAATGAAAGGCATTGTCCCTACCACCACAGAGCTCTATAAAAAATACTAAATATGAACACTAAATAATAAGTATATAATCATGTGATAGAATCAAGTCCTGCCCAAGTATTACTTAATACATAGGCAATCACTTTTGTTTATCAAGTACTTTTACTTAGTACTTTTAAGTCATCCTGTAATAACCTACTAGGGGAAATGAATGGAGCGACATTTATTTACATATTTCACATAATATATGTTTTCATTCTTAACATTTTGGGGAGACAAGTGTTTTCTTGGTAGGACATACACATTTATCCTTACACATCTAACTTTTTGGTGGAACTTTTTTTCCCTGCTTTGGAAAAACACCTCCAATGAAAATAGTTTCCTCTGAATAGAAATAAAACTGTCCTTGCCACAAGAGACAAGGGGTCACACAGGAGCAGCCACTCTGCCTTTGTCCTTTCGGCTGGGGAACTTGGAGGCCAGAAAAAAGCTGCTCACCAATTCTCTACCACTTCCTCCTCTCACTGTCTTCCTTTCTTTTTGCCCCTCCTTCCACCACCACCCTACATCTCCTCCTTTCTGCCCCTTTATTCTTCTGTCTAGCCCACTGGTCTTAGGGTACTAGCAAAATGCATTTACAAAGTCCCCCTCATGCTTTGGAGACATTTTAACAATGACCCAGAGCTACAAAAGCTTCTGTGCCAAGAGGGCTTGAGACTCACATATAAGTCTTCTCAGGAAGAGAAATTCTAATAACAATACAAACATTTTGTAAATGACTTATTTTCTCTGATGCAAAATTACAATGAGCTTGCAACCCAGCATGAAATGGCCGTTTTCTTCCTTAAAATTCCAAAAGAGGAATGTGAGAAACCAGCCTCCAACCACATTTTTTACGGTCAGTTTGTGCCTTTACTTCTGTAAAGAGTTCTGAGAATAATAATGATGGATGATAGTTAATGACAGCGGTGGCAGATAAGGATGAAGAAGCTTGAGTCATACTACTTCAGTTAAAATGGAAATGTCATGTGACAAAGAAGAGTACAACAGTTGTAAAACTATCTAGTATTTAATGAAGAACGCTATATATTTTCCAGTTTTGAGATACAACTGGCATACAGCACTGTAAAAGTTTTCAATGTACAGCATAACGACTTGGCTTATGTATAAGAAACATTATCTCGAAAGTGAAAAAAATTAGCTTGATCCAAGTAGCTTATACACTAGACAAATTAAACCTATTACTTACAACACCTGTGAAAAAGCTGAGATTAAGTTAAATTAAATAACATGGCCAGGGTCCCACAGTTAGAAGAGGCAAGGATGAGACTGGAGCTCAGGTTTGTTCCAGGTTCTTAACTGCTATGCTGACACTAATGTGGGGAGTTCAATGGAGGAATAATTTCTGAAATAACCCTAGGATAGGATTTTGAAGCATTATAACAAACAGATCCCCCATAAAAATGTTCGCTATATTTTTCATATTCTTTAAATCAGGTGGTTCTCAGTATTTTAGATTTCCCAGACCAATGGGGACCAACATAGGATCACCAATTTTAATGATGCCAAGGTCATTTAAAATTAAAAACAAAATGACACAAATGTAAAACTAAGCACCATCTATTTGTACATCCTTTTATAAAAGAAAAAGAAAACATTTACAAAAGGAGATTTTTAACCCCAAAACACACAAGTTGCTAATAAAATATGGTTCAGACCAAGAGAGAATGCTTGAGAACTTTGATGTATAGTTTTTTTGTTTTCATTTGGTAAAAACTGATAGAAACTGAGTAGAGTTTGAAACTCTTGTTTGCGATTGCCCTCAATACCTTCAGGGGCCAGGGAGATGATGTAAATAAGTGAAACAGCCTCCTATAAGACAACAAGGAGTGATGGGGAGTGAAGGGAAAGTGTGGACTAACCTAAAACATTACAAAAACAGCCCAGCCAGCATGGCTCAGTGGTTGAGCATCAACCTATGAACCAGGAGGTCACATGCCCGGGTTGTGGGCTCAGTCCTCAGTGTGGGTCATGCAGGAGGCAATTGATCAGTGATTCTCTCTCATCATTGATATTTCTCTCTCTCTCCCTCTCTCTTCCTCTTTGAAATAAATAAAAAATATTTTTAAAAATTACAAAAAACAAAATATCTAAACACCGGGCCAACCAAATAAAACACATCTCCAGGTCCACAGCCCTCGGGGTTACCAGTTCTCATTGTGAAAACTGGGAAGAGCCACAAATAATGAACATCACAGCAGTCCCCTACGAATCCTCTAAGTCTACCCCCATGAAATTCCCTGGTTTCATGTGAGCCCACAGAACCCAACCATGAAGCCTGAAGCTTGGAAAGAGAGGAAAAGAAACCCAACAATGACTAATATAAAATTTTCTCTCCATCCCAGTGGAGATAAATAAGACTTAGATTCATAAACTATTTTGAATTATAGAAAATAAGAAAGTGCTATTTCTCAGATACGTCATTTTGTAGACTATTTACTCCAATTACACGAACCATTGTCCTGCATGCAGCAAACTCCTAACCTGAACTAGTTTCTTTTTCCTTCACTTTTGTTTGAAACCACCTGAATGTTTAGGGAGTGACAAAGGGTTACTTACTTCCTGGATGGGAGCTCAGACAACAGAGATCCTGTTCCTTATCTCCTGTTCTCCCTCCAAAGACAGTCCCCACCAGTCATTCCTGACAACTAGCACGGAGCACTGCTCCTATGCTGCAGGTGTAAGGATTCTCAGGTCTTAACGTATGTTCACTCAGCACACTAAGTACAACCTGGAGCTTAGGTCTAACATTTGTCCCTCCCAGAATTGTCTGGAGAGCATTGAAATGAAGCCACATCTTGGCCCAAGCCATACACTTTTCAGTTCTATGAGACCCCCACTTTTTCCCCCCCAGGCTGAAATAAAACCTTCTCTCTTCTTAGTTTCTGAAAAAATAAGCTCCAAGTCCCTTGTTTCAGTGCCCCAAATGTATCCTAAATTTCAGTTGTAACTGGTCAGCGGAGGTGGTGGTCCCCACAGACACCCCCCTCACCTTCCCCCACACACACACACTCCTCTATAAGCTCTCTGGGACTCTTCGAATTTGGTTCTCTTTCATCTTTTACTGTTTTCATCTGTCAACACTCTTCCCACAGAAACAGTTCTCAGTAAAATGATGATGTAAAAAAATTTTAATTATTCTATTTTTTAAATTTTTAATTAAAATGATGATTTTTATTCTTTAGATTCTGGCTGCTTATTTTTCACCATAAGTAACTTTGGAAACACATGCCTTTATGTAGTGAATAACAAGTACTGAACTCATCATATTGTACACAGTTGGTGTTTAATGAATAAATCTCAACTTAACAAAGATTGATGACCCAAGTCAGGACAAAGCATTTCCAAGAGACAACATAGGATTTGGGGTAATTCTCTGAGCATGAAAGAGGCTAAAGGCACCGGGCATCTTCCACTCCAGTGCCAGGCCGAGAAATACTTCCTAAACTCTTCCCAGCGTCCCAGCTCTAGATCTTCATCCCACCACCCACCCCATTCCAGCTGGGGCTCTGGGGCCCCTGTAACGAATTTCCTGTGAGTCAAAAGCCTCCTGCCCTCTAGTCCCCCAGAGAACAAAGGTGCATCTAGATCCCTCCAGAAACCATTTCTTGGGAATTTGGTTTTATTTTTTAAGGATCTAGTAGGCCATCTATTTTTTGTTTTGTTTTAAACATATTACTTTTTCTTTATTTCCTTAAACTTAGAAATGTCCCTTTTAGTTCGTCTTTCTGAGGTTAAGCATTTTACAGCTTAATCCCCTTTAACTCACAATTAGCCAAGATAACACATCTAATCCTCGTCTACTTCCCCGTGTGGCTGCAACAAAATGAAAACCAGACCCAACACCGAAGCTCTGGGCTTGCTGTGTTCGTGTGGTTCTGTTTGTTTGCTTACCAGCTGAAAGCGTGAAATCCTGTGAACTCCCCGAGTCAACATCCCAATTTCCTACCCTCTTTAGGGAGGAAGTTGTCTTAAAGGACTAATTTGAAATTCAACACTCAGTGAAAGTCATTTTCTTCCTGGTAATTAGTATTCGATGTTGCACATAAGCAATATGATCATTTTACAGATTATTTCACATAAGAAGGCCCTGCCTTTTTTTTTTCTCTCCCACGTACACTTTTTTGTTTTCCCCCAACCTATACAAACAACAGTGTAGACTATATACGAAAAGGCTGAAGCTCCGCTTCCATTATTAAATACACAATGCCCCCAAAGACTTTTTTTTCCAAATACACTCCACAGCATCAACCGATAATAGCGACTCGAATACTCCAGAGAGAATGGGACCAACACCCACAATAAGGCCCCTGGACTATGACAGCAAAGAGAACAAAGCGAACACGAATTGCCCTCCTCGCCCGGGGCCCCTTTTGTGCTGCTCCTGCCAACGCAGCAGCCGCCTGCTATATAGACCCGCTGCCCGCTGCCGCCCCTCCACCGACCCGCACGGCCATCCACCAGCCCAGCCATACCTCAGCCGCTGCAACTCCATCCGCGTGGACAGCGGCTGCTGGATGCTCTATGAGCGCCCCGACTACCAGGGCCCCCAGTACTTCCTGCGGCGCGGCGACTACCCCGACCACCAGCAGTGGCTGGGCCTCAGCGACGTGGTCCGCTCCTGCCGCCTCATCCCCCAGGTGAGTCGGTCCCCGGGTCCCTCTGCGCCCTCCAGTCACACCCCCGCTCACTCACCCTGCAGGGCCGTCGTCTGCGTTTTCTGGCTGTAATGTTCTCTTCCCCTTTATTAATATCATTAAGGTTTCTTCTATTGAAAAAGTATGTGATGCAATGCTTTTTTCTTAATTTATTTTTTTTTTATTTAGAGAGAGGAAGGGGAGAGGGGGAGAGAGATAGGAACATCAATGATGAGAGAGAATCCTTGATGGGCTGCCTCCTGCATGCCCCCACTGGGGATGGAGCCTGCAAGCCCGGCATGTGCCTTGACCAGTAATCAAACCGAGACCTCCTGGTTCATAGGTCAGTGCTCAACCACTGAACCACGCTGGCTGGGCTGTGATGGATGGCTTTTAACTGAAAATTTTATTTCACTTTGTTAAAATTAAATTGACCTCCATTGGGCAAAAGTACGGCTCGATATTGTTCAGAGTGTCAAGGCCCACAGATGGTGACTGAGCAACTCCTTACTACCAGGCGGCCTTAGGATAGTGCCTGGGACTGTTTCTCTCTTTTCCTCATCTGTAAAATGGGGCCACTGGGAGTCACTAATTCCTACAGTTCTCATGAGGATGAAAGCAACTTATCTTACACATGACAAGGCACTCCTCCCCCCAAATATCAACTATTGTCATGAACGTCAAGGGCCCCTCCAGTCCTGCCTTTTGATGGGGCAAAACAGGTCACCAACAACGTGATTCCAACAGCTCCTGCAAAGCCCTCTCTTACCCGAACCTCGCCCCAGCAGCCTGAATTCCTCCCTTAGGGATCCTCTGATTTGACTATGACAGAGTCTTGGGGGAAATGTACCACTTTTGTGAAGTTTGAAACCCCCTCCAAGGGCCTTGATCAGACCCAGACTGCCATTAGGAGCCTGGAAATCGGGGCACACCCTTTGCAGCCCTGGCTCTTCTGATCACAGACTGCAAGCTCTGGCCTTCGTTTCTCATGAAAGAGGAAAAGGCTGATAATGTTGCTCCACAGGTGCCAGGATCAAATTAGGAAACGTACCTGTGAGTCCTTTACGGACCACGGAAGATGCATTATCACAGTCTTTTATTCGGCAGAATGAATTGCTGATGAGAGCCTTCTGTGGCAAAGAGGATTTCATGGTGGAAGAAGGAAGACGCTGAATGGGTACCTGCTGGGTAGGAACAAGCAGATAAAAGAACAAGGGCTCAAGGAAAGACAGGATTGGCCCAGCACTAACCGCTTACCTTTCCATTTCTCCAAAGGTTTTATAATCTCTTGATCTGTAAAGGCCTCTTTCATAATCTTGAGCTTCCATTTTTATTAATTACCTAAAACTGCTTTGCCGGAACATATATTGGAGCTGAGAACAGAAATCTAATCTTTATGATGGTGCCCACTTGTCAAAATTTTAAACGGAAGATGCATTATCACAGTCTTTTATTCGGCAGAATGAATTGCTGATGAGAGCCTTCTGTGGCAAAGAGGATTTCATGGTGGAAGAAGGAAGACGCTGAATGGGTACCTGCTGGGTAGGAACAAGCAGATAAAAGAACAAGGGCTCAAGGAAAGACAGGATTGGCCCAGCACTAACCGCTTACCTTTCCATTTCTCCAAAGGTTTTATAATCTCTTGATCTGTAAAGGCCTCTTTCATGATCTTGAGCTTCCATTTGTATTAATTACCTAAAACTGTTTTGCCGGAACATATATTGGAGCTGAGAACAGAAACCTAATCTTTTTTTTTTTTTTTTTTAATATATTTTGTTGATTTTTTACAGAGAGGAAGGGAGAGAGATGGAGTTAGAAACATCGATGAGATAATGCCTGGCTGGTGTTGCTCAATGGTTGAGATCAACCTATGAACCCGGAGATCACGGTTCGATTCCCAGTCCGGACACATGCCCTGGTTGCGGGCTTGATCCCCAGGAGGGGTCGTGCAGGAGGCAGCCCATCAGTGATTCTCTCTCATCATTTATGTGTCTGTTCCTCTCCCCTCCCTCCTCCCCCTTCCTCTCTCTGAAACCAATAAAAACATATTTAAAAAAATAAATATAATGAACTCTTTTAAAAAAGAGTCAAAATAATGCCATTTGGCAGTGATATATTTGTCTTTTTATTTTTTATTATTTTATATCATCCAGTATGCAGAGCCCCAGAAGACCATAAGTCTATGAAGGAGAGAGCAAACCAAATATATAAAAGTCTTATTTAAAAGTGGTACTAAAGCTCTTGCTGAATGATTCAGTTGGTTGGAGTGTCATTCCATACATTGATGTTTTTCTCTCTCTCTCCCCGCTTCCTCCCTCTATACATATCCTTAGGTGAAATTTTTTTTTTAAAAGGATGGTACTAAATAGAGCCAGCATGTATGGTCGATATGGGTTGTGACCCAAAAAACTCTAGGGAGCACCATTCATCTCATGGTCTCCATGAATACTGACTTTTTGAGTTTTAGAGTGTACAACCTCTCCAACTGTACACAGCAGCCCTGGTAGTGGAAGTCTTTTTCTTTAACGTGTTCAGCTTTGATACAGAAAAGATAGACATGTCCACCCCCCAGAGCTGTGTGGGGTTGGTTGCTACCGGCTGGGTTTTCTGACTTTTCCTCGTTGGCCGATTGCTGAATCCACAGAGCAGCTCCCACAGGATCAGACTGTACGAGAGGGAGGACTGCAGAGGCCAGATGGTGGAGATCGCGGAGGACTGCTCCTCTCTCCAGGACCGCCTGCACTTCCAGGAGGTCCACTCCTGCAGCGTGCTGGAGGGCTGCTGGGTCCTCTATGAGATGCCCAGCTACCGGGGGCGGCAGTACCTGCTGCAGCCGGGGGAATACAGGCGCTCCCACGACTGGGGGGCCGCCAGCGCCCGAGTGGGCTCCCTGAGGAGGGCCACGGATTTCTATTGAAAGGTTTTTCCTCTACCCTTTCCTCCCTCTGGAAGCTAATAAACTATTTCCTGTGTGTTTCATGCAGCCATGCAGTCCTGTTTTCCTTTCAGGCTCCTTCAAAGGGCTCAGCAAAAATCAAGCTGGAATGATGTGCACTTTCTTACACGTATTAAAGGAAAGGGTGGTGTGGGGAGCAGTTAAGAGCACAGCCTCTGGGGCCAGAATGCCTGGGTCAAGTCCATGTCCCAGCTCTAGGTGACCGGGCAAGCTACTTAGCATTTCTGTGCCTCCACTTCCTAATTTGGAAAATTTGGGGTAACAGCCCTGTTCGGTGCAGTTCAGTTGGTTGGAGCATCATCCCTTACACCAGTGGTTCTCAACCTTCCTAATGCCGCGACCCTTTAATACAGTTCCTCATGTTGTGGTGACCCCTAATTTCATTGTTACAAATTGAACATAATTAAAGCATAGTGATTAATCACAAAAACAATCTGTAATTATATATGTGTTTTCCGATGGTCTTAGGCGACCCCTGTGAAAGGGTCGTTCGACCCCCAAAGGGGTCGCGACCCACAGGTTGAGAACCGCTGCCTTACACCCAAAGGTGGCAGGTTCAATTCCCGGTCAGGGCATGTATGTAGCTTGCAGGTTCAATTCCTGGTGACGGTGCATGCGGGAGGCAGCCGATCTATGTTTCTCACATGGATGCTTCTCTTTCTCTCCACCCAGAAGGAAGGTAAGAGTGGTTTAAAAGCCTTTTCCAAAATCATGAATGGTAAGAGATTATTTTGCAACTTTAAATATAGTTTGCTATGCAGTGTATTCAGAGCATACTTATAATTTAGCCAAAGCACTCATTGAGCAAGGGTAAATATTGTTTTGAGGGCTTCGTGACACATCATAAGCATTTCATAAAAGAAGCTGAAGAGAGGCTTGACAATTGTTGGGTGTTCACTGGCTGGGGTGGCCCTTTCCAGCGGCTGGGCCTTTAGTAGAGCCTCTTGTCTTCTTCCTCCATCTCAGCACCTGACAGATCCACTTCTAATGTGTGAACCTTTGGGTTCATGAGCAAGATGGATCCCACTCTTGTTCAAATATTTCCTCTACTTCACCTTCTAGTTCAACTCCTGTTCACTTGTGATTCCAACTCTTTTTTATACACTTCACATTTTTCTTATCATTGTATGTACAGGATATGAATTGCTATACAGACATCTTCATTAATATCCTTTAGAAAACAAAAGGATACCTATTCCAAATCTCATTGGCTAACTTCCTGTGTTCCTCTACCCCTCTCTCATCTCACTGGTCTTAAAATATCCCAGATCAATCTAAGCGTATTCGGAGATGACAAGCAGTATGCAGATAATAACAGTGCCTCCTCCACTGCCCATCCTTGCATTTAAAAGCCACAACCAATCGATGTGTCTCTTTCACATCGTTGTTTCTGTCTCTCCCTCTCCCTCCCACTCTCTCTAAAAATCAATGAAAAAAATATCCTCGGGTGAGGATAATAAAAAAATAAAATAAAAGCCACAACCTCGGCTCTCTAGAATAACACCCGAGCTGTGTGTCTTGAGGGTGCCTTGAACAGTATCCTCCAAGTGATGTTTGTCTCTGCCTGAACTCTCCTGCTCCCAGCTTACTCTGGTCTGAGAGGTGAGAATTGGGAGCTGTTGCTGTAGCTCAGCAATATAGTTCGTGTCCTTCTATCCTCTGGGCTTTGCTAAGCATTCCAGAACACCTGGACCATGTGTCCCACCTGGAAGGGGAGCGCTGCCAGGCAGCCCAGGCCCCAGAGCCCCCCGACACTCCAGCTTTGAAATGTACCCTCTCCCTCCCCCTCAGACTTTGTGGCCACCTGCCTCTCCCTCTCAGGGTCCTGGCTTAGAAAATAAGATAAACCCTGTCTTAATCTCAACATCTTTTCATTCCATAAAATCAAACTAGCCCATTCTCAACTGTCTTACCATCAGAGTCTCCATGAGCCAGCACAGAATTGCTTGAGGTGTAGCCCTGGCTGGTGTGGCTCAGTTGGTTGTAAGTCATCCCATGCACCCAGAGGTCACCAGTTCGATTCCCAGTCAGAGCACATGCTCAGGTTGCAGGAGGCGGCTGATTTATGTTCTCTCTCTCTCTCTCTCAAATCAATAAAAACATTTTTTTAAAAGAATTGCTTGAGGTATAGAAAAACCTCCACACATTTGATGGCCAGAAAATAGACGTGTTCAGAGTATTGTATGTGGCGACAAGGAAAACAGTAGTGTGTTTCTGCTTTAATCTAAGCATCATTCTCCCATAAAAGAAACCAGGGCTCCTAAGGAGAAGTGATTCATTCCAGGGCAGGAGCAGAGAAAAAGACAAGATGAGTCTGGAACACCTCGTGGTACCCAGAAAGTAAGAAAATGCTCAAAGGGAGGGGGCGAGGAGGGGAGAGACACGGGAAGCAAGCTGGTGCTCGCCTAATGACAAAAGCGGGACCGTGAGACTGCTGTCTCCCAGCTTGCCCCGGGCTAATGAGGGTTCAGTGTAACTGCCACCCTCCGGGGAGCTTTTAAAAACCGAGACCCGGTGGGAAGAGACCGCTTTCCTGCCCCCTCCTCATTGGAGCCATCAATTTTAACATCTCTATCGGCTCAGGGGCCAACAAAAAAATCCCCCATGTGGTATAACACACACAATGATAATGGCAGAGATAAAACCTAATTGGCACTGTTGAGTGCCCGTCACCGCTGAGGTGATTCTCCGCCGAGGCTGATGGCCCAGGAAAACACTGCGATTCTTGCAGCATCTGGAATCTATTTGCAGACACGGAGAGCCGCCTTGCTGGCACGTGGCCTGGACGGCGCAGCAGCGAGCAGGGGCTGAGCAGCTGCTGAAAGCACAGCAGCCCGGGAGGCCGGCCTGCTGTTTCCACAATGTTTCTTTCTGCCACGCAGCCAATAATAATAATCGTCCACAGTTATAGCGTTTCCAGCGCCTCTGGCGCCGGGCCAATCATTCACATCCCTCTGCTGGTTCCGTCCTTTCCCAACAACCACAGGAGGTCGGTGCTGGCGCGGCTGCTGCATTCAACAAGGATGTGAGTTCAGAACAGGTATGGAGTGACCCGGGGCCACGGACAGGCAGGAGCTGGGCCCGGATTCGGAGCCAGGGCTCTCTGACTGCAGAATCCTCGCATTTCACAGCCCCTCCGCGGGGTCAGGACACGCGTGAGCACAGGAAGGTGGGGTGGGTGTACTCCCTGGATGTGGCGTTTCTAGCGGTGATTTGCCAGAAGGAAAGGGGCAGAGGGAGAGGCAGAGACAGGGCCCCACCTAGAGGACTGGAAGCAGAAGGGAGGGATCTTTGAAACGAGAAACAGCTGCTCGGGAGAGTTCAGGCCTGTAACACTCAAGAAATCAGACTGGATTTGTCATTTCTGTCGTTTTAGGGATCATCAGCTAGAGGATAAAAGGTGTGGCTAGCTGAGTTCCTGCGTCCAAAAAACATTCTTGTAGCACATTTGCAGGCCTGGAGGCAGCAGTGAGCGCCTCCCCCCCCCCCCCCCCCCCCCCCTAGGGGTTGAGCCCCAACCTGGGAATGTGTCCTGACTGGGAACCAAACTGGTGACCTCTGGGTGCATGGGATGACACTGAACAACGGATCCACACTGGCCAGGCTGGCCTGATCTCTTCAAGATCACCTGCACTGTTACACAGGGAAGAGCGCGAAGAAGTGCTTCGAAGTCCCAGTAAGCTGCCCTCGGCCAGGGAGCGTTAAGGATGCTTTCCAATAACAGGAACTGGTCTCTGTGCTCCCGATGAGAGAGGACAGAGCAGCTGGACCACAACCAACTGTCTTGTTCATCAGGAGGAAGCTGGGCCACTCTGCCCCCTTCGAAGGAGGGGCTAGCTTGAGTCTGTGAGAGCAGGCCAGGGACCCCTCCTATGACATGGGGATTTAGAAATGGGAGTGGGTTCCCTGTTGAAAAATTAAAAAAATTTTTTTTTATTTTTCAATTACAGTTTACATTCAGTATTATTTTGTATTAATTTCAGGTATACAGCGTAGTGGTTAGATAATCATATACTTTACAAATATATATTTTTTATTTAATCCTCACCCGAGAATATTTTTCCATTGATTTTTAGAGACAGTGGAAGAGAGAGGGAAATACAGAGAGAAATATCGATGTGAGAGAAACACATTGATTGGTTGCCTCCTGCATGTGCCCTGACCAGGCCCGGGCCAGGGAGGAGCCTGCAACCGAGGCACGTGCCCTTGATCAGAATCGAACCCGGGACCCTTCCATCTGCAGGCCGACACTCTATCCACTGAGCCAAACCGGCTAGGGCTACAATATTGTTGACTATATTCCCTATGCGGTATTGTACATTCTTGTGACTATTTTGTAACTCTCAATCCCTTCACCTTTTCACCCAGTTTCCCAACCTCCCTCCCCTCTGGCAACCATCAATCCGTTCTCTGTATCTCTGTTAAATTTTTTAAAAAAGAAAAAAAATTGCGTCAGCCAAGAATGGGAAACCCACGTGGGTATCATATGATTATTGTTAATTATCTTGAGTTGAAAATGTTATGGACTTTTTGTTGTTGTTTTTGTTTGGAAAAGGGCAAGTTTCGTTCCTTGCAGGACTAGGAGGCCTGAGATCTTAGAAGACAAAACAAAGAGAAAACTTCAGCTGGAAGCAGAAGCTGAGAAGAGCAGGGAAAAGTGAGCGCACCCGGGAGGCGCGGGGTTCCTGGCGGGACGGGAGCAGAGAAGGGCTCCTCCTCCCACGAGCACTGAGTGAGTTCCAGGGCGAAGCACACAGGCTGGTGGGTCTGAGCGCTCATAGTCTTCAAGACCAGACAAGAGGAGGCAGCACAATGTCCTGGCAGCGCCTAGAGATGCGTCAATCAAAGGGATAACAGGAGCTGGAGAAAGAGGGGCATGGAGACCTGGCCAGGTGCCAGGAACACACCGGCTGGGCTGCTGCTCCAGTCTGGGCTGCTGGCCCAGCAGGGAACTCAGGCAAGAAGGGGACGCCGGTCAAATGTCACCCCTGCTCGAGGGAGAGGAGGCTGGTGGGCAGAGAGCTTGA